CGCTGATTGGTAACTCTAAATTGTCCCTAGGTGTGAGTGAGAGAGTGGATGGCTGTTTGTGTTGTTTGTCTCTATGTGGGCCTGTGATGGACTTGCGACCCGTCCAGGGTGTACCCCGCCCCTCGCACAGTGACCGCTAGACATGGGCACCGGCGACCCCCGTGACCCAAAATGGAAGAAGCGGGTAAAGATGGACGGATGGATGGATGGAGTTTGTGTGGAATGATGATGTACAGGAAAATTTTCTGATTTAGTTTTTTGTTGTTGTTTCTCCCTTTTTGAACTTTAGTGGTTTACTTACAGTCTTGATTTGTTGCTGTTTTGTTCATTTTTCTAGTCTGGGTTTGTTTCAGCTTTGTTTCTGCTCCTCTACCACCACACCTGCTATCCTTTACTAATCATCACACTGGAGCCTTATCAGTCGTTACCTGCTCTCTGTATGTAGAGTTCTTGGTTTGCGCTACATATTTGCGTACCCTCGCCTGTTCTGACAGTGTTTCAGCTGCTGCTTGCTCTGGTTTAGTCTATTAAAGAAATTAATCCTGGAACAAACCTTTGGTTCCACAACTTACTGCCTGTGAGTTCCTTTACTTGTGTTCAAGTCCAATTACTACACCATATAAATATCAGATCTGTAGTTTTCTGACATTTGATGTAGTCCTGACTCAGAGCTCTGCCGAGCCGGCTGATAAACAGAGCACCATCTTTTATCAGAACTATGGCTGCAGGGGTGGTGTCTGGAGAGTACTCACGGACTACTTCCCCTCAAATTCAACACCTGACCTTCGCTGACCTTCCTCATGCATATGTCTTTATGTCACCTATATGTTGCTTTTTGTTTGGTGCTGGGGTTTTTTGAAGCCTCCATATCTCACGCTGTGTCCTGTTAGGGACACAGCGTGAGATATGCTTTTTTTTTTTTACCTCCTGCTTTTTTTTTTTTTTACCTCCTCTTCCCTCGTGTTCCCCTTTTTCTAATCAAACGGAAAAGGAAGCGCCTCTCAATGAGGCTGCAGTCTCAGACACGCCGTCTACCCTGTCCGTTGTTTGTTTGTTTGTGTTTCTTCGGCTGGGCTGTACTGAAATGTAATTTCATTGTGCTTCTGTGCAATGACAATAAAGCTGATTCTGATTGTAGTTTATCATAGTATTCCTTTCATGGTTTATTTTTGTCCTTTGGTTTCTGTGGTGTTTTCTTGTTCAGTTAAGCTATTTGCGTTTTTATATTTCCATATTTTATTTTGAGTGTTCTGGTTTAGATGTAGTTTTGTTTTTCAGAATTTCTTGCTCCATCTTTCCTCTCCACCTTCAGTCAGACTCCCACTTTGCTTCCCAGCCACTGTTCCACTCACACCTGTTCTCCATAAGCAATCACTCAGGTGCTGCCACTTTTCACTTACCCTCTGTCTCTATTTAAAACATTTCTGATCACATGCCAACAGCGGGTCATTGTCTTGGCTCCCTGCCAGGTGCCCCGGTCCTCCTCCTGTTTTTTGTGCTTCTAGGTTTTTTGGCAAGTATTGCTGCCACATCAGCCTTTTATTTTGTTTATTTAATAAATCATTTTATTTTACTCAAGATGCTCGTGCCTGCATCTGGGTCAAACCCTTATCAGACTTAAACCAAAACAGTTCAGAGTTAAAAACTGGATGAATGATCTGCATTAACTCATATATTTCTATTATCTTTGACAGAGTTGTAGTAATAGTCCAAGATGTGGTATTTTAACAAATATATGGTATAGTTTTTTTAAATTAAAGCTTTATTTTATTTAGAATTTGTCATAAAGCATGTAAGATCAAAGAACAGGACCAGAAGCTACTGTGCAATGAGCCCTAGTTAATAAATCAGAATAAGCTTTATTATCATTGCACCTAAGTACAGCGAGATTATGTTCGTACAGTCATCCGAAAGATGGGCAGAGTGCAAATAAGTTATTAAATAAAGCAAAAAAAACAAAATGTTTTGTCACTATTGGACCTTTATAGAACGCTTCAAAGTTATGTTTTATCGTCTTTTCTGCGCCATTAAATGAACAAATCTGCACCCTTTGAAATGTTTACCTAATCTATGATTTGTTCTAATGCACACATTAAAAACAAAAATATATAAGGCTTCTTAGTTTCATTTTAAAATAACAGTGCAGTTACAGACTTAATTCATTCAAACTGATGTTTTACAATTAAATACCTGCAACACAAATTACATAAGATGATGCTTTTGTTCACGGTCATTAATTAAATGTCAGCATGAAGACTGCTTGACTTTTCTGAAACGAAGATGGAGATTGTTAAAGAGTGCGGTGAATCTGTGTGATTCCATCATATGACTCATTTTACAGGCGTTATTCAAACCATGGACACAAAGAAAGGAAGAAAGAAAGACTCAAGGTTTTGGGGAAAAATAAAACAGGTAAAGGAAAAGTGACAAAGGAACCAGGAGGGCTCATAAGAATCAATCACTGTGGGCCCTTCCTCACTCACTTTATGTCCTTGCTTCAATTTTTTTGTTTCTTCCTCCTTTTATCACAATGTAGATGGACGGTTGCCGAGGGCAACCTGTGTGTACTCACCTAACGATGAACAGGAAGTGGTGTGTGAGTAAAGGGGCTATTTATAGCAGCATGTGTAGAAAGGACATTTGCTCGCTTGTGGATGTGTGTCTGTATGTGGACACCTGTGTGTGTGTGTGAGAGAGAGAAAGCAGCCAGCCTATAACAAGGAAGAGGAGGAGGAGGATGCAGATTGTCAGACTCAGTTACTAGAGAGAACAAGAGAGAGAAAGAGTGCAGGATGGATGGAAGGAGTGAGGGAATGTAGTGGAGGAGGGGGCGAGTGTGTGTTGACGCTGTACGTGGCGTCAGCGCGATAAGAATAGAGATAGTGCGTATAGCTGAGACATCACCCTCACACCCTCAGTGGGGCAGGCAGTACTCACTCTGTGTGTCTGCATTTGTTTCATTGTAAGGCCCATTTTTCTAACACATACCAGTACTAAGTTGTGAGGACCCACTGCTTCTTATGGAGCCTGGGCTTTGGGCCCCAGAAGAAGCGGTGCAGTTTTTTGGTTAGGTCAGGTTTAGGACTAAGGTGTGAATTGAAATTCAGAGTCAGAGTTTCTTTATTTGTCATAAACACACCACATGCGGTTCATGTGGTGGAATGAAATTGTGTACACATGGTCCTGGTTATGTCCAACAAAAGTATAACATGTAAAAGAAACACAGTAATAAGATTTAAGATATGAACTAAGAAAAACGTTAACTAAAAATACACTAAGCACTAGTAGCATAAAAAACAATATGCCGAACAGCAGCACGAACATGAGTCTGTGTGAGCAGATGAGTACAAAGGAACACAGCAACATGAAACAGATCAGCAGCAACATGATGTGATTTTTTACAGTGATTATTCTGATTTGATATTCATGAGTCTAACAGCCTCAGGGTAGAAGCTGTTCCTCAGTCTAGTGGTTCCACACTTAATGCTCCTCAACCTCCTTCCTGAGGAGAACGGGGCAAAAAGTGTGAGTGCTGGGTGAGTGGGGTCCTTCATGATGCAGGTGGCCCTTTTCCTGCATCTGGAGGTGTAGATGTCTGTGATGGTGGGGAGACTGACTCCAACAAACTTCTGTGCAGCCTTCACCACTCTCTGAAAGCTTTTCTTTCTGCAGCTGTGCAGCCTCCATGCCACATGTTGATGCTGGAGCACAGGATGCTCTCCACTGCACACCTTTAGAAGGAGGTGAGGACTGAGCTCAGGACGGGTTAGGTTTAGGGTAAGGGTCAAGGTTAGGCTAAAGAAATGTATTAAAAAATGAATGGAAGTCCATGTAAAGAAAGCAAGACAAACCTGTGTGTGTGCGTGTGCGTGCGTGCATGTGTGTGTACCCAGATATATCAGAGGATGTTCATACATGGATGAGTAAACAGTTGTAGCTGCACAGGTTTTTTTTGTTATGGTAATTTTATGATAAATTTTCTTCATTTCAATTCTTTGCAAATGTTTTTCTTTTTAAAATAATCAAATTTTGAAAGTTTTTCTGAAGAACAACCAAATGTCATAGTTTTACACGTTTGAGATTAAACTAAAAGTGGGTTTTACAGAGTTTTGTAAATGTGAAATGAAGTACGGTAATGGCCGCCTGGCTTGTTTTGAAAAGGCTTCATCTCATAAATAACATCAAACGTGGACGACATCATTTCAGCGGTCTTTAAAAAAAAATAATTATTTAATGCCTATTTGTTTTTTGTTTTGTAGCTGAATCATCCATCCATCCATCCATTATCTTTACCCGTTTATTCCATTTTGGGTCACGGGGGTCGCTGGTGCCCATGTCCAGCAGTCACTGTGCGAGGGGCGGGGTACACCCTGGACGGGTCGCAAGTCCATCACAGGGCCACATAGAGACAAACGACACAAACAACCATTCACTCTCTCACTCACACCTAGGGAAAAAATTTAGAGTTACCAATCAGCCTAACGTGCATGTTTTTGGTCTGTGGGAGGAAACCGGAGCACCCGGAGAAAACCCACGCATGCATGGAGAGAACATGCAAACTCCACCCAGAAAGGCCCCTGGACCGGGGTTTGAACCAGGGACCTTCTCGCTGAGAGGCAGCAGCTCTACCAGTTGCGCCACCGTGCTGCCCGTAGCTGAATCATTTCAAACTAAAAGATGTAAATAAAATCAGAATATTTTATCGTATTTCAAAGTCAAATACTTGAAGTGATTTTAAATGATTTTACCAACACACTCCAAAGCCTAATTCTTTATTTAATGTAGGATTCTTTTCAAATAAAGCATTTTAAGATGAGCCAGAACAAGCAAAACAAAAACAGAGTAAGATCTGTCCTAACAGTGCCATAAATGCAATTATGAAATCATTTTGATTTAGAACAACATGGCATTACATCAAATAACCTAAACTAATAAAACAGTGACACAGCAAGAATGGAAGAATTATAAAGTAAAAACAATGAAGCACAGATTGTTTGAAACTGCAACTCGTCTTGTTTCATTTGCAGCATGTTTACAACGTCAGAAACTGAAGCAGCCACTGTGGAGAAACAACAGGAAATAAGAATTAAATCCAACATTTTATTATTTTACTTCATCATGAACCCATGAGCGTATTTCCATCCCTGTACTTACAGCGTTGATCCCTCGGCCTTTCACCTCCTGGTTGGTCTCTGCTTGAAACAAAGCTGAGAAGAAGAACAAGATGACTGCAGAAGTGAACTCCTCACCAAGTTTTATGCTTATTAAACTGTGATACTGGTGTCAGCGGTGCGAAAATTAAAAGCAAGCTCGTCTTTTTCAAAACAAACGGTGCACAAACAAGTCGCATTCATGTTTTGAGGGGTAGGTTGCTTTGCAGTACACTCAAAGAATAATCCAAAAATACTTAGCTAAGCAATTTTAAAAGTCACTAATCTAAGATAGTAAAGTATTAACATAAAATTAAGGGGAAAAAGTATTACAAGACATTTACAGCAGCTTTATAAATTATATAAACACTCACTTTGATCATTTACAATCAGACCAAAAGCTGAATCTGAGAGGCTCTGTATGTGTTTTATGATCCTTGTGTCATCTGTCCTGTCCTCCTCGGTGTTTCTCCCCTCGTTAGTTTGTCTACATGTTCTGCGTTTCATTGTTGTCCACTGTCCGTGGATTGTCCTGTACGGCGTCATGCCCCCTTCTTAAGTTTTGCTGCCACGTCAGCCCTTTTGGTTTATATTAATAAATGTTCTTTATCTTAGTCTCGAGTTCCTGAGCCCTGTCTGCACCTGGGTCCAACCACCACCACAGAACATGACAGCGCTGCTGTATAATAAATACAGAAAAAGAGCTGAGTGTAATAAACATGGAAGTTTCGAGTCAAACATCTCTAATGAGGTTTTTAGAGTTTAATAGACATGTAAACAATATTTAAACGGTTAGTAGACGTCTAGGCTCAAAATGGGCTGTACTGTAAAAGTGAGAGTTTGTAAATGTCTAGTTGAGTATTGAATAATCTGGATTTACTCAAGACTTGTAGAAATAAATTAGCAAGATCCATGTTTGATAAAAAACGATGGATCAATGTTATCCTACTGAGCTAACCAGACGGCACCACGCACTATTCTGTTCACAATCAATCAAGTTGAACCAGGAAGTGAATTCTGGTGCTGTTAGTTAAAGAGCAGTGCTGCTTGTTCTGCCTCCATGTCACACCTACGTACCAACTCAGTTCTGTGACTTGGCAGCTCAGAGGTGTAACAGAGGCAGGTGGATTTCAACCTCTCGTGCCACCTCACTACTGACACAAACTGCAGCGCCACATAAAAAAAAGCCATCTCAGACCCAGCTTCAAATCGCTTTGCAACAGAGGTTTAAGAATCTTGTACTGTAACAAAGTGAGTGCGTAAAGCTCTGCTGTCAATCACCTTTTCTCAGCTCGGTGTCACTGATTCCTGTTTCCAGTGTCCCAGATTTGGCATATCTTACTATTTATTTAATAATTTATGGACTGGGAAGAATTACTGTATTTTTCAGATTATAAGGCGCACTTAAAATCCTTTTAGTTTTCTCAAAAATCGACTGTGAGCCTTATAATATATAGTGTGCACGGATCTCTCCAGAGAGAACTTTATGGACTGAGTGATTTTATCTGAACTCTGCAGTGCCTCTTTGCGTTGTCTCTGGCTGCTCACCGTCCTTGCGTAATGTCCGCGTCATTATGTGCCAGTGTGCCAGGTTTTTTTCTTCATTATCACACTTTTGACCTTCAAACAGAGGTCAAAAGCGTGTTAGAATTTTTTTTTTGTCTCCAAACCCTGTGTATCATTTTTCACCACTTTTTATTGTCTGTCCAAACAGGTCTCACTTGTAAATGAGTCTTTGAGGCTCAATGTGACTTATCTGTTTAAATAAAGGTTGAATGAATGAATGAATAATCCAGTGTGCCTTATGTATTAATTCTGGTTGTGCTTACTGACCTCAAACTGATTTTATGTGGTTATTGTGAATGAGCTGAAAAAAGTTTGACTTAACTGACTGTTTTGTTTCGCTTAATGCGCCTTATAGTCCGAAAAATACGGTAACTCGTCACCTTACAGCCCGGTGGCCATAATTTGACAATAACTGACTTGTGTAATTACCCTAAAACTGTAACACAAACATTAACTAGATACAATCATAATCTATAGTCTACAAAACATTTGACCATTAAAAAAAGTTCACAAAATCTTCTTTAAGTATATGGAAATAAGACTTTTATTAAATTGGGTGGGTTGTTTTTCTAGTGTGTATGTGTGTGTTGTGTGTGTGTGTTACCAAAAAGCTTGCGCAGCCTGACGACACATGAGACAAAGCTGTGGAAAGGCAGTTGGAGCTCTCCAGCAGCGAAGCGTTCAGACAGTAGCTGAATTACTTTGTTGTCACACCGCATTCCTGGGAAATGGGAATAAAAAAAAAGCTGTGAACACAGCAGCAATTTGCAGGTGTGTGTGTGTGTGTGGGGGGGGGGGGGGGGGGGGGGGGGTGCATACCAACAGCCTCCAGTGCCAGGCTGAGCTCAAAGGGGTTCATGGTCCCAGAAGAATCCTCATCAAACTTGATGAAAATGGACTGAAAAACAAAGCAACACCATTGGCAGAGAGACAACGCTCAACTTTTGTGTCCTAAACACATACACACATACACACACACAATCACTGAGCTTCACCTGTAGATTGCGCAGATCCGACATCAGGGTTTCTGCTTGCTCACGGCTGAGCATGGAGCGGCCCTCGGTCTGGCAGCAGAGTTAATGTGGTTTTAAAAGGGTAAAGATGAGAGAAGAGGAAGTGAAAGGAATTGTTGAAGGAACGCAGATCACCCGCCGCCTTTCAGGTCAGTGTTTTAAACCTGGACCCAAACCAGCAGCGAGATGGCTCAGTGGTTAGCACTGTTGCCTCACAGCAAGAAGGTCCTGGGTTCAATCCCCGGTTGGACCTGGGGTCTTTCTGTGTGGAGTTTGCATGTTCTTCTCGTGCTTGCGTGGGTTTTCTCCGTGTACTCCAGTTTCCTCCCACAGACAAAAACATGCATGTTAGTCTGCCTTCAGGCCCAGGCCTCCCTTGCAAAAGAGATCTGTGATCTCAATGGGATTTGCCTGGTTAAATAAAGGTTAATAAATGTTGAGAAATTAGGGAGTTGTAACAGCTGTTGTCAAACCTTGACCAGTGTGTAATATCGTGGGATTTCTCTCTCAGAGTATTTGCTGTGAATGACACCTAGCTACAAGAAATGTTAGCTCAAAAGTTGTAAAACTGACTGAGTTATGGACATTTTGTTTTGGCTAATTAGCTGTGGTGGCCATCTTTAATTGGGTTCTTGTGTTGATGAGGATGAGTCTAACCTACCATACTAAATGTTAGCCCAACATCCATCAAATTGACTGATTTATAGTAAATTTTTAAGGGTCTGTTAATGTCAGTTAGCTGCGGCAGCCATCTTGAATTGACTCCAAAAATCAATCTATGTGCATGCACTGGTTATTTCCTAAAAGCTTTGTTAATTTTTTTTTTAATCCAGGCAAATCTCATTGACATCACAGATCCCTTTTGGAAGGGAGGCCTAACAGGCATGTTTGGACCCATTTAAAGTGTTTCACAAGATTTTTCAATGATAGACAAACACAAAAACCAGAGACGCAGGCAAAAATATATACACCATCGCCTTCTGGAGGCGGGCGATCAAGAGATTTAACAGCTGTTTTTTGTTTCAGCTGAGAAAAACCAACGTGAGTTTTTCCACATCACTGAACCACAAGAAGACAGGAGTGAAGACTACCTGGAAAGCAAAAGGATACATCTTCTCCAAAAATAATCTGTCTGCACGTGTCCAGGGGCAGATCTTTAGCCACAACTGTTATGAGGAGAGAAAGATTCACACTGATTAAAAAAAAAAACAGAGTTTAAATAGGATTTATAGGAGAAAAGAGAGATCAGGACTAAATAAATGCTTCCATTGAGTTTACTTCCTCAGTGTGCAGCTACAAGCCTCTCTGGACTGGTGACATCTGCACCTCCTCAGCTCCAGCTCACTCAGGCATGTTTTGCTTCCATCTAGTGGCCTACGTGCTGCAGTCAACCAATAAAACTGGCTTCCTGAGGGTGATGCAGCGTAAACTAACCTGAGTTGAACAGCTTCATGATCTCATTAGCATCCAGCCTGTCGTCCTGTCATTTGGACAAAGATAAAAATCACTTAAAAATAACGAAAAAATTTAGTTTTGTCTTCTGCCGGGATAACACTTACAGGGCCGGCTTTTTCATCAAAAGTGCTCTTAACGTTGGTGCGATCCTCCGGGGACACAGGAGGGGCCGAAAGCTGAGACATGCACAAGCACAGAAATTGTACAAAATAAAAATGAAACAGTTTTTTGGTCATGAGTAATCTCAGAGAGTTCAGTGTCCTTGAACTCACCGGGAGGTAAGAAGAAGAGCAGGTGAAGTCCTGACCTCTAGGGAGGAACAACAAATCAGATCATCAGTGTGATTCAAAGTTATTCTATATCACATTCTGTTGATTAAAGACTGGTGAAAGTGTTTCAAGCTGCTTAAGTATTCCCATTAAAGTTAAACTGTTTAAATAAAGTCCACTTTCCTCTTGACTGACGTCCTGAATAGTGTTAGCTCATGTTTAAATGTCTCATCGTCTTAACTTTACTAGAAGAGCCGTTCAGGGATCCTTGGCAAAGTTTGGCTCCAAAGTCTGAACTGAACAGTTTACTCATTTATTATTCACAACCAAACGTTTGGAAATAATCTCCAGAAATCAAAAAGAGAGGTTAAAACCAAACCTGAAATAGATGTTTCATTATATGGCCTATTTCATAAAAGAGAGGCCGTACGGATCTTTAACAAGTCACTTTGAAGATTTGTAGAACTGTTTATTCTGAACGATGAATCAAATTAAGCTGCAGGTGTTGAGTGAAAGTAGTTACTGTAAGTAATGGATTCATGTGGATTTTGTTTCTTGCTCTCAGAACAAATGTCCTTCTTCATCTCACCCCAGAGTGTTTCTGATCTTGGAGAAAATGCGGATGAAGAACTCTCCAGGCTGATTGGCTCGATACGTGGATCCCACGATGATGTAGTTCCCCGGGTCCAGGCGCAGCTTCCTCCACACACCTCTGTGGGACCGTGAATCACTCATAGGTTAAAATACACCTTCATTAATACTGATTCACATTTACTCTATTGTTTTACTCTTTATGTTTTTGCATTGTAACTACTTCTGAATACTTTGGCTCTTTTAGCCATGCTCATACAAAAATGTTCAGCTCATTCTATGTCTTCTGTTTTTTTTAACTTTTTTCACTTTTTAAGATATTCAACTTTATTTACAAACAATTTCCTCATAAATATTTTTTTTATTTCCTTCAAAAACATTGTTTATGTTAAAAAAAAGCTTCAGAAAGCCAAAGTTCTATTTTTGTCTTTTTATGCTTCTTTTAGTTTTAATCTACAGTTTTACTCATTTTAGATTTTAGCTAACCTTTTGCTATATTACATTTAACTAATTTTTTTTGCATTTTAACAGCATTTTAAAACTGTTAGCTTTTAGCTAGTGTTCTGCTAATTTTGGATTTCAGTTAGCTTTTAGCTTTCAGCTAAACTTTTGCTAATTTTAGCTTCTAGCAAGCTTTTTGAAACTATTAGCTAGCCATTTCATTGCTATTAACTATTATACTGCTTCTTTAGCTTTAAGCTAGTTTTTTGAAACTTTTGACAACTTTTACTACTTTTAACTGTTTTTGCAAGCATTTTGTTGAGTTTGCTATAAGCTAGCCTTTTGCTACTTTTAACATTGCTGCTTTTAGAATTTAAATAGTCTTTGGTTACGTTTAACTCTTTTGCTACTTTTAGATTTTAGCTTTTTGATACTATTAGCTAGCCATTTGCTGTTTATTTGCTTTTAAGTTCTTCTTTAGCGTTTAGCTAGATTTTTGCAACTTTTAATAAATATTACTAATTTTAGCAGGTTTTGCAAGCATTTTGTTGAGTTAGCTATAAGCTAGACTTTTGCTACTTTTAATTTGTATGTATGCATTTTGTTTAAAACTTAGACTAATAATTTTAGCCACGACTTTGTTCCTGTAACAAACAGAGCTAATAAACTTTGACTTCAAACATTAAGGTTTTAAACAAAATGTCACATTTTCTCTAGAGTTGGACTTTAACCTCTGAGCTTTGTACGACCCAGAACGACCCACAGGCCGATTCGTCATGAAGAAGTTGCGGCTCAGACAGGCGCCTTTCAGCTATGAAGAGAAACAGTGAACAGCTAAAACAAACTCTGCAAGTATAAGATGGTTCTGACAAAGAGTAGCTGAGGATTAATTGAACATACCTCAGGAGGAACCTGGAAAACAGATGAAGCACAATAACAGATGAGTTTATCTGGCAGCTTGAGTTAGGATGTGTGGGTGAGAAGTTTGTTCCCACCTTGTAGACGTGAAAACCGATGTAGAGGAAGTTTGTTTTATCCTTCTGCCTCCGGTTTTTCTGCAGCAGCTCCACCAGAACTGTGCAGTGCTTGGCCCTCTGCTTCTGTTTCTCTGCTTTCTTCTTCTCCTCTGCAGTCATCACCTCATCCCCATCATCAATTTCGTCCTCATCATCCTCCTCGTCTTCGCCCTCCTCCTCCTCCTCCTCGTCCTGGTCTTGCTCTCGAAGCACCAGCTGGAACTGGGGATTCTTCCAGAAGGATTCTGGGGAGGACCAGCAGAGATCTCAGCTGGGTTTCAGTGGATACCTGAGCAGATCTGAAGCCCTAAACGCACTGTTGAATTTGCGGGAGCCACCAGCGGAGCTTCCTGGGAGCCAGGAGCCTTTGTGTTCACTGATGGTCCAGGTGGACTGAACGGTGGACGTGTCCTCCTCGTCAAGGGAGTCAGGACTCACACTGCAGAGCTCCACCACGTTGAAGGTTCTGCTGAAGTCATCAACGCTCATCCTGACAGAAACAATCATCAGAGCTCCTGCTGTGAAGTTTTACATCAAGGTTTAATATCTCTTCCTTACCAGAACTCTCCATCCTCCTGTAGTTTGAGCTCAATTCTTTCCTTCTCTGACTGCTCCATGTCATCCCACTCCTTACACCTGGAGAAAGAAAACCTCAGAATCTGTGGAGATCCAATAATCTACGTATCTGATATCTGTTGCTCACTTGTCACTCCAGGAGCCGCAAAATTCGACAAAACCCCAGGGGTTCCTCAGCCTTAGCAACAAAACCTCATCCAGTCCCCTCTTCACCTAATAAAATATAAAACGAGACAATAAAATGAAAAGTATCAAACACTGGAGAGGTACTGTTGGCTAACAAGATTTAGTTTCGTGTTAATTTTTTTTTGTTATGACAGTGAATAAAAACCAGAGTATACATATTATTATGTAGCTGTAGGGACAGGGTTTTCTCCCAATGCTCCTGTTGCCTCCCCCAGTCTATAAACATGTATTGGAGGTTTGTAGTTTTATGAGCCGCTCGGTGGCTCAGTTGGAAGAGCTGTTGCTTCTCAGTGAGAAGGTCGCTGGATCAAATCCTGGCCTTTCTGCATGGAGTCTGCATGTTCTCTCTGCGCGTATGTGGGTTTTCTCCGGGTACTCCGGTTTCTTCCCACAGACCAAAAACATGCATGTTAGGCTGATTGGTAACTCTAAATTGCCCCTAGGTGTGAGTGGTTGTTTGTCTCTATGTGTCCCTGTGATGGACTGGAGACCTGTCCAAGGTGCCCTCGGCCTCTTGCACAGTAATATCTGGATATGGGCACCAGTGAACTTTAAGGTTATTTGCTAATCCAGCTAGTAGCTAGATGTAGTAACTTCAGTGTAGCTGTAGAGAATTTCTTGCAGGTTTGCCTGAAACCCAAGAAAAACATTGAACTTGTGGTTGTTTTAAGATGGCAGCTGTGCGCTTTAGTCATGAAGCACTTGGACTAGCATTACTTTGCTAATCCAGTTAAAATTCAACTCCATATTTCAAAACTAATGCAGCTAACAGAACTATATACAGTAAGTAGGATATTAACTGTTCATGATCTTTAACAGAACCCCATTGCAAAAGATGCATGCTATTCCTTAAAGCTCAGAATAAATCTGTTTGTAATTCATTCATTGCAAAAGACAAAAACAAACAGACACATCACAATTGTGTTAAGATTATAATAACAGAATTAATCCAGTCTTCAGTGTTTTCACTACATCATACTGACCTTATCGGTGTCGGTGATGGCATACGCGTGGCCCTTTACCAGCCCGTCTGCCGTCACTTGACCAACCTCGCGGTAGCTGTGAGCCTGTGGCGAACAAAATCAAACGTCATCAGGCGTGAGCTTCTTAGTTTACACCTTGTGCAGAGTGGACATTGTGAGGTGTGTGATGCAGCCACCTGGATGAAGCAGCTGAGCAGGCTGCCTCGGGACAAAGCAGCGCCCAGAGACCTCCAGAGAACTGCAGGCGTGTGCGCTGTAACAGGAAGAGAGTATGCGATGCCTCCTGTAAAATCCTCCATCCCCTCTGAGATGTTACCTCCCTTCAGGCTCCCGTAGGATCCTGTTAACCTGCACAAGAAGTGACACATTTATCTCCGTCTGAAGCGACAAACAGGCACAGAGAGCGTGTGGGTGATCATTAAAACCCAGAAACATATGCTGGCTGCGGCGACTCACTTGGCATAGGCCTTCTCCACTAGGGCGCTCCAGAACTCGTTACGGGTGCGAGAGTAGCTGAAGAGCAGACGGCCTTCGCGTACTGGCAGCCTGTCATCCACAACCACTTCCACCCACTCACCATACTGCCAGAACTGCAGAGAGAAACAAAAAAACATGAGAGGGGAGGAGAACTGGATGGAACAAGGCAGGAGGAGTTACAACGAGGAGAGAAAAGGGTACGTTTTAAGTTTATGGTTCTACTTTTAGAGCAACAGGCTCGTTTTACGAGCAACCTGAGGTAATTAAACAAACTGCAAACAGAACGGCCACATTATGGGTTTGTTTCCACCAAGTTATTAGAGAAAGTTTTGACTAATCACAGGTTTAATGCCTAAATTTAACCTTTAGTTTAAAAAAAATTGCCTTTTTACAAACTTCTTTTTACAACATAAAATAATGACGTGAATCAGAAGTTGTGGATGAAGTTGCAATCATGATCTAAAGATCTAAAGATGTGTTCTTTTTTTGTGCGTTTTAAGCCATTTAAAATTTTGCACACAGGCAAACATTACCAGTGCTGGTTCATAAACCAGACATACTAAACTCAGTAATATTACAGGAAATAAAACATTTGCGAACTACCATTAATAATTCTTTAACTACCTGTTTTGACATGCTTGTTCTTTAGCAACCATCAGGGGGTGCAGCAGCACCCTGTGCACCCCATGTTCCCAGGCCTGGGTCACAACAAAGTGTGGCTACGTTCATAATTAGGATTGGACATAATATGCAATCAGTATTCTTAAGATATTTTTTTACCTTTCTCTGATTATTTTATTCATTGTTTCCAACGCCAAAGTTTTACTTGATCTGAAGTAATTTTTTAGATTTGTGGAGGTATTTTTGTATTTTCTTTGACTGCTTTTCATTCATTATGTGTCCAGAAGCTGACCAAAGTCATGACCCGTTTGTCCAGTAGCCCACTCCTACAATGGACCGACCAGCAAACTAGTCGGTCCATTGTAGGAGTGCACTGCTTGGTGGTGAAAACAGTTTGTTTGTGACTTCTCAGACTGATGAAGCCCTTCGGATGGAGAGCGAAACGTCTCTCAACAAAAACAGAAACTGTCCAGATGACCTGACTGAACATTGTTGGATTTTTTTACCTGGATGACTGAGCATGAACCTTGTTGACCAAAACATATATTATGCAGAGAATGTTAAAAATAAATAAAAAACTTTTGAAAACTGGGTAAGTCAAAAGAAGAAGTGTCAGATTCAATAATAAATCTGCAACAAAATAAAAGAACAGTTTATGAAATTCATGTTGTAGAATTTGGAAAAATTAAAATAAAACAGCAAAGACCTGCCACAGGAATGTGAGACGCATTGTCCCACTTCGCAGAGCGAAAAGGGGATACGTCTGTCTGTCCGTCTGTCCGAGCATGTTGTGAGCAGAACAGTGTGAAAGGTAAGTGAGGGACTGACTTCCATTATGGTGTGCAGCTGCATCGACGTGAGGAAGTTTCCTTTCGAAAATTGGGTTGCCACGCCCAAATCCAAGATGGCCACTACAATATATATAGATAAACCACCCCTATTATTTGAGGAAACTGTTTTCTAGTTTTTAAAGTATGGTGTCCTTAAGGTGGCCAGTGGGATGGCCAAAGATTAATCTATGGCGACCAAGGCCACCATTGGCCACCCCCTGGCTCCGTCACACCTGGTGGTGGAAAAAATTGCTCTAGCTGCTTACCAGGATCCGTCATTCTGCGATGCCAAGCAAAACGAAAAAATCCTACTTGTTCTTCGCCACAGTGTAACTCCTACCCTTTTGAATATCTTGCACCAAAAACATTAAGGTTGGGGCCCGAGATGGGGTAGAGGCAGGGCAGCCGACTCGGGACCTGAAAGTCCCGGGCTCGATCCCCAGCCTCCCACATGTTGTGGTCAAGTCAAGTCAAATCACATTTATTTATGTAGCACATTTAAAACAGTAACTATTATCAAAGTGCTTACCAAAAAAAGATCACAGCATCAAATATTAATAACAGCATATTACAGCAACATGAATAAAAGCATAAAAACATTAAATATAATGAGAAACAATGAAATACTAAATCAAATCACCCTGCGTTAAATGTCAGGGAGTAAAAGCAAAATGGATGAACACAATCATCAACAACGAAATACCAAATGAGATCACACTGTGTTAAATGTCAGTGAGTACAGATGTGTTTTGAGGAGAGATTTAAAAATAGAGACTGAGGTGGCCTGTCGAATGTTGATGGGCAGATTGTTCCAGAGTTTAGGGCCCATGACTGAAAACGCCCGATCTCCTCTGAGCTTCAGCCTGGTTTTAGGTACGGCCAAAAGCAGCTGGTCTGATGATCTCAAGGCCCGAGAAGGAATATAAGGATAAAGGAGGTCGGAGAGGTATGAGGGTGCAAGGCCATCAACACACTTAAATGTCAGCAGAAGAATCTTAAAATCAACTCTGACATGCACAGGAAGCCAGTGAAGAGAGGACAGAACTGGAGTAATGTGCACAAACCTGCAAGTTCCTGTTAGTAGCCGAGCTGCAGCATTTTGGACAAGCTGGAGACGTGAGAGAGAGACCTGACTGACCCCAGCATAAAGCGAGTTACAGTAGTCCAGCCGGGTTGTAATAAATGCATGGACTAATTTTTCAAGGTCGGATCTGGACAGGACGGACTTGAGCTTAGCTAACTGCTTTAGCTGAAAGAAGCTTTTTTGAAGAACAGAATTTATCTGCTTATTAAACTTAAAGTCCGAGTCTAAAACTATCCCGAGATTGGTAACAGACTGTTTTAGATATGTGTCTCTGAGCAAGACACCCAATCCCCAATTGTTCCCCGGGCGCTCACATAGCTGCCCACTGCTCCACCTGGGTGTATCCCAGGCACAATGGGTTAAATGCAGAGACTAATTGTGCCATTGTGTGGGAACATACAACGATGACAACACACAGCACTTCTTATTATTAATTAGTTGCATTCCCTGTTCAATTCCAATCAAGAAAAACTCTGATCTAAATAACTCCAAACATTCACTAATCAAATCCTTCAGAAACGAGGGACATCGGTGTGTCACTTGTTAGACTTGGCAAAGAAATGGTTGTAACATGTACAGTTTTTTGTGATAGCTGTTAATAAGAAATAGAGATGTGACGTTCATGAACGATCTGAATCTTTTGACTGACTCTTTAAAAAGAACGATGGGGACCAAGTCTCAGACAACGGAGAGCCATTCTTTGTTTCCCTTCTTGTGTTTTCTCCTCAGATGAAGACACACGCTCCTCCTTTGCTTTTCCAACAGACAAAAGAGAACAGACAAAGGGGAGGAGCGCAGCAGTTGCTGTGATTGGCGAACATGCGTGGGGGGGGGGGGGGGGTTGCATACACATGGCAAGTCACGTGGTATGGTTGTATGTAGTGACAGAAGTCATTACATGACAAACCATTCAAAATTGAACAACTCTTTTAAAAACAAAAGCCACAAGATCCAGCTCCTTTCTAAGAGCTGAAAATCCCTCATCTAATAAAGTTACTGGCATGGAAGCTAAGTAGTACTATTGCTAGTTACTACAATGGGAACAAATTGGGTTTTGAAACAGGCTGCTGGTGTTAAAGTGCCCAAAGATCAAAGTTAAAGAAATTAGTTGTTAGTTTGTCCGTTACGTGACACAACACTGGTACATTTGTTGAGTTTAGGACTCTTTTATGGATTATTTGTAGATCAGAGTTACAGCAAGGGTCATGACAAACAAATAATATTCCTCTGATGACTGGCCGGGTACAGGACAAAATGTGAACATAGCTGAAGTCCAAAGAAAAACTTGCTCTGTACAACCTTTACCTGTTTCAAGAAGGTTTGGTTTCATGACGGCCGAATATAAAGAAGTGCGGGATGACTCATACGCAACTTGTTTTAAAGATCATCATGTGATGATAATCCTGTTGGAGACTGAGTAAAACATGGTCATTCCTTTTTCCTGCACCTTTAATCCCTCACGTCAACATTTTGGACACGTGGATACTTATTAAGTGTTCTTGTAAGACTTGTCTCCCGTGTTCTTGGAGCAAGCCTGAACTGGTCTTCAGTAGCTGCTGCTGAGCGTCAAGTTGTTGGGGCATAAATCTGATTAGATGATCAGATTATGAAAAAGTTTCTGCTGTATGGGGGCAATAAATACAATATTATATGGACATTGTTTCATTTTGAGATAGACGTGAGACCATAATAACAGGGTTTAGGTTAGAATAGCTCTCTGAATGAACGTATCAGTGTTTTGTCTTCTGAAGCTGTGGATATGTGTGTGTGTGTGTTCTTGTAAATGTACTTTGAGGGGACTTTGCATTGACTTCCATTCATTTTCTGTAGCCTAACCCTGACCCTTACCCTAAACCTAACCATTACTAGTACATACTGAACCCTAACCCTAACCCATCTGCAATTCACTCCTTAATCCTAAACCTAACCCCTAACCCCACAACACATGTGTGTGTGTTTGTGTAACTTTGTCCCAGGGATAGTCTCTGCATGTCCAGACTGCTCTCCCACCATCCTGACAGGGCAAAACAAGTTTCCAGTCCTTCTCCGGCCTGCTTGTTCAGTCACGCCACATTCTTCCCAACCGTCTCTGAAGGTCCAAAGATAAATGATCATCGTCTGTTTGATTTTTATGAGTCTGAGATGTCTATCAAGATGATTCCCTTTATTGATCTCTGAGCAGGTCAGGGCCAGCAAACGGCAAACTCCTCAGATTTGTATCACGATATTTGATGAGTAATGAAGATGTGGGGGTTTTTTTTGTTTTGTTTTGCTCCTCTAATGTGTGAGGCCGTGCCGTGATCGTTTTAATCATTTTGAGATGAGTTGATACCTGTTCAGTGCTTCTTTAAGTGCCAGGACTGAGGCACGACGGCTAAATGAAATAAATCTGTTTGAGTCAGAAACGACGGAGCCATATCTGATCAAATATCACTGACTTCAGAGAAACTGGTACCTGAAATAAACAAGAGTGAATTAGGAGCATAAATCAAACTTAATTATTTTTATATAAACTGCTCTTTGTATGTTAATACAAACCCAACTCTGCTTCGGGTTGTTCAGGCAGGTACATATAGTTCTTGACAGATGATATTTAACAACTTTTTCTAAAGTTCAATTTATTTGCATAAACGCCCAGAGACAAATGTGAGCATCATTTTTCTGGTCAGCTCTGTGGAAATGTTATGAACGATTAATATCTTACCTGCTGTAGACAGTTTTTTGAACGACCTCAGCTACGAGAAACATAATTTTTTTCTGGTACGACTGAAGAGCTAATGGTCTGAACAGAACTTTAGATCATGATTGCTGCAACCTTAAAACAACTACCATCTAAAAACTATTGCAAGGTTTTATGGGCCTTTGTGTTTCTCTCAGTTTTGCATTAAATGATTATATGCATTAAATTTTACGGTTGTTCGACAGCATAAACAGTGGCAGCAGCAGCTAGTTGGAGTACTTGTATTTTTCTTAAATATACTCATATCAACTTGAGTTTTGAAACTTTTTTTTCTTTAAACATTAAGACATTCTTTTTTTCTTACGCTGTTGTTTTGCATTTTATTTTAACAAAACTGAAGGTGTTTGGGGACTCAGGACCATCTGCTTTAGAGGTGATTCTTTTTCCTCGAAGGGTTCGGCTGTTTCACGTTTCATGGAATCGTTTTGTCCATTTTTTTGTTTCACAATGAGCTAAATGTTGCAGTATCCAATTTTAACTTCACGCAGAGCAGTTTAATATCCAAACTGTTGTAAAAAATAAACTAATAGTTGTATTTTTCTCAGTGTTTCTTTGGTTTTTCTCACCGTGTTAACATTTTTTTTAATGCAGCGCTGTGAAGAACTACAAAATAAGACTCATTATGTTGGGTTTCAGACATGTTTCTTACATTAGGTTAAATATCTGCTTCTTCTTTTAATGAAATTCCCCATAAGTGAGGAAATATGTTAAATATTTATCATTGTAGATGTGGTATATTTTCCCTTACATAATTGAAGTAATTGCCTGAGTTGAAAACAACAAAGTCCATGCTCAATAATCCAGGATTACAATCCAAAATTTTTAAGTCAGATCATCTGGACAGTTTCTTTTTTTTTTTTTCTTTTTTTTTTTTTTTTGTGCTGAAACGTTTCGCCTTTGATCCAGAAGGCTTCATCAGTCAAGGAAACACACAACTGATTCTTCCCCCAACAGCTTACTCCAAAGTGGAACAAACCAGTTCTGCTTGTGATAAGATGGTCCAAGATGGTAACTGGATGCACATCTTTCTTCAACTGATTAACTTTTGGAAAAATCTTGATTGAAGATGGCCACCACAGCTGATCAGCCTTAGAGAATATACTCCAAGTCAGTCAGTTTTGCTAATGTTTAGCTCAAATTTGATGTGGTAGTAGCTGAGAGTCATCCCTAACATGTGGGTCTTATTGGGAGATCCTAACTTTAAATGTTGACATGTAAGATAACAAGCAATATGATTTTTATTTTATCATCGCCACCTTCAAGTTCAACATGAGTCAAACACAACAAGATTTCTGACGTTTTTGTGCAACTTTTATTACTTTTACTTATAAAACACTTGAAGTTTTATGTGGCACATACTTTTACTGCATTTTTCATCGTGTCCAAAGTTTTGTGGAAATAGTTTTGTAACTATTTGGTTCCTTCAGGGTCTCTAAATGTGATCAATTAAACTTATAATGTTGTTTGATCAAACATGTTCCCCTAAACAACATGTTGCTTCAGTCTCTAAGTGTGTGTGTGTGTGTGTGTGTGTGTGTGTGTGTGTTTATCCTCCTTGGATTTGTTTGTTCTTATGAGTCAAATCGGTTTATTTGCACAGACGAAATAAAACACACATGTGTTATCGTTGTAAAACATCTTGGCTGCATTAAATCTTTTTGTTCAGAATAAAAGACATTTGTCATTAATGATGGATTGAGAAATGAGACTCAGCACTAAAGTAGAAACACGTCACGTTATGGGATCAGATGCAGGGCTAATTAACTGTCTGTGTGAGCACATGGAGAAAGCGTTTGGTTACCGTGAAGTGGAAGACCCCTGCGTAAGGATCAGACAAGCTTTGGTTGGACGGCACCACCTTGGCAAAGAGCTGAGGGTGGACGGCCAGAGAGGACAGAGCCGCCAGCAGCCAACAGTCCCCTGGAGGATCACAAGGCAGAGGTAGAGCTCAAACGATGACGTTAAAAAAGACAGAGGTACAAATGTGTTTCAGTGGACCCCTGGGTCAAATGACTGGCATGCTTTCTGTGGCATTACACACACATTGTGCCTCATTCCTCTCCAATAGCTAACATCTGTTCTGTGTTCTTTCTCGGGGCTCGCTGCAGTAACTGTCTGTTCCTGCGTAAATCGTCTCAAACACATCCTGGGTTTCAAGCTTTAAAGAAACCACACTGACAAGGAAGGAGGCTGCAGGACGAATGATCACATTTACACACAAACTGCAGCAGAAATCCCAGAGGTGATGATGAGACTGCACTGTTCGGCAGAAAACAGATGTTTAGCTCATCACTAATAGAAAACAGTCTGAACAACAGTTCTGATTATAACAGGGCCCGGATGGGACCCCCAGCGTGATTGTGGTGCTTGTTTTTTACAGCCGTGTAAAAAGAGGCGCTTCTTTCTCCTGCTGCACTTTTGAAGACGAGCCCTGAAACGTGCCCGAAGCTCTGAACTTAATTTACTTTATTCAAAACAGAGGACGCTGCAGTGTTTAACCTTTGTTTAATTCTCTCGTGGTGTTGCGCAACTCTCTTCAGGATGATATGTTCAGCTGAACAGAAAGCAGTAAGTTCAGTTGTGATGCACTCACCCAGTTGGCCCTGGCAGATATCCATGGTCCCAGCTGTGTCCTCCACAAACACAGCATCCCCACTGATCTCCTGCAACAAAGCAAGAAATGGATCAGCACAAACGTTTGGTGACAAATCTTATTTCTAAAGTAAAAACATCATTTGTAAATTTATTCTTAGAGATTAATGATCTGAACATAAAAAAAAAAAGATTCTGATGCGACTAACTTTCATCAATAAGCTCATAAACGGTCACACCTTGGGTCGCTTCCATTTGATCGCCTTTCCAGGATTTGGGTCTTCAGGCATCCCGATGGACTTCTGCTCAGCAGGAAAGGTTGGATCTGAAAACAGCTTGCCGGCCTTCAGACACTCCTTCAGCAGAGCGTCAAAGTCCTGGTCCAGAAACTTTTTCGGGTTCTCGATGGAGCCCAGAGGAGCCTGGTCGTCAGAAGCCATGCTGCCCGACGATGGAGTGAAACTGTTCCAAGCAAAACGTGAGCAGCCGGCGTTTAAATAGAAGCACCCACCCACCGGATCCAACAACGAGCGCCTCCCCGGCTCGGTCCAGACGGGAAAGGAATGCGGGGCCCCCGGGGGCCCAGAAGTGAAGGAGCTGCTGTGATGACACGGTGCCAACAACGGCTTTGATCTTCCTAATTCATCCTCCATCGACACCAGTCGTACCTGACAGGAGGGTGCAGAAACAAATCTGATGCCTCCTTCTGACAGTTTAAAAACGTCAGTGTTCACCTCCAAGATCATTTCTTCATGTGTTCATAAAAGGGTGTGACCGTTTTATTCTGCAGATCCTGAGAACATCCCTCTAGTTGTTGTTTCATGTATGAAATGTGGTCATGTTTGTTCACAGCTGTTATTCAGAAATGACAGTTTGTGAACACTGAAGACATCTTTCCATCTTTTCTTTTGCTCAAAGTAAAAACCCAAATGATCAGGTCTAAGATGAATCTAACATTAATAAAGGATTTGTTAATTAAATTAAACCTTTGTGTTCAGTCAACAGCATTCTCTTTATAAGAGTGATAAAAGTTTGATCTTCAGTTTGTGCATCAAAATACCAATAAATTATCATTTTTTTAAATTGTTTGTCATAAAGCCAAAAGTTTCACAACCAATTCCTAAAGAGCTTGGACTCTATTAATAATTTAAAAAATGTGTTTACAATTATAGAGACTTTAAATTTATTGTAATCTGAAGTTTAGTGACGAAACAACAAAAATCATTGCATGAGAGTCAGAAGATTAAGAATCCAACGTAACATAAACAGATCTTACTGCTCCTTGTTTGATGGTGAAGCTCTTTGATCATCATTTTCTCTCATGAAAGATGATAAATGAAGAGCACAATAACTGACTTACTTTGTGCTCAACAAATATCTTTATTAAATGAGTTTATTTGGAGGTTTTTGCCTCCAATAACAGGAGAAGGACAGTGTGGGCAGCAGTTTGATAAAAATCACAAGGACAAGCCATACGGCTGCTGGGAAGACATTATGTGGACACACACACACACACACACACACACACACACACACACACACACCAAGGACACTGTCACTTTTCAGGGGCTCAAACCCCCAGCCTTCCAATCACATGATGACCTCCCTACCCACTGGGCAAACTTTGTATCTGTGTCTGTAAACTGGGTTTTGTTATATTTTAGGACCTTTTCTGACATAATGAGCTAACCTGTCAGGACCAGTTGTCCTTCCAGGAACCAAATCCGGGTCCTGATCCAGTGGATCGTCATCTTTGAGGGTTAGGTTCAGGATTAAGTTGCGCTAAGTTTAGGGTAGTGTCAGATATTTACTGATGATGAATAGAGGCTATATGAAAATGAATGTTGAAAAGAAATGCAGTTTTTATTGTCAGATCTGCGCCAAACGCAGTGGTGGTAGTATCATGGTTTGGGTTTACAAACATTTTACAATAACTGAAGACAGAGCAGAGAGGAAATGAAATGCAGGTGAGGAAGAATAAAAAAGCTGGAAACTCCAAAAACGTCTCTACAGGCTCCTGGACCGGACGTGACAGGAGTCAGATGACACAACTGAGGAGAGGATGATGACAAGGATCTGGCAAAGACGGCCTGAAAACCTGAAGGAGGTGAAGAAGAGGCAGGTGTGATGTTTAGTCACCAACACCAGGTGTGTGAGGGAACACAACACCAACAGAAACAAACCAAGAACATAGAGCATAGAAATACTTTGTATGTTGGACAGGACAGAGAAGGTTGAACACTGTGTCAAAGTTAAATAAAAAAGTTAAAGGCCTGAAAGTTAAACTAAAGACTGGACCGGCTAAATGTATTATTTCTGTTCACACCTTTGCAGGTCGCACACTGAACTGTTTTTTTTTTTTTCTTAATAAATTTAATTTAAGGCTGTGTTTGATTGTTGTTTAATTTGGTTCTTCTCAGTGCTTTAGGCTGCAGGTCCTAAATATGTTAAAGTTAAAATTAAAATCAAAACTTGACAAATAGTAAGATGATAATATCTTTAACGATGATGATGATAATAATAATATTTTAATGATAAGATCTTTGTGTGCAGATGTTCTGTAGATTGATGTTCTGCTGCAGCAGCTGTCAGTTCCTCAAAGTCAACACTAGGGGGCAGCCTCCTCCTCCTGCAGAGCTGAGCTGTGGTGAAATTCACTGCAGTTTGGTGTAAACAGGTTTAGCCTCTGAGAAACATTTTATTGTCCCACTGCCTTGAATGATAGAAGATATTTTATGATTGCATCATATGGTTGAATAAACGCACAATAAGCATTTGAAACATCTTCATTAACTCGAACTGGTTGATTTTAGCTCGAGTACACGAAGTTTTAAAGACACGGAAGTCCATGTTTACTTTTGATTTATTGTTTTTACAGAGGATATTATGCTGAATATTTTATAAACTGATGAAATGTGTTAATGAAATAACATCCAGCTGTTTTCTTTACCTGCTTTTCAATGCAGTAGTCATTATATGAGAGACGGGGGACACCTGGACAGGTCTCCAGTCCATCAGAGGGCCACATAGAGACAGACAAGACAAACAACACTTGTGTTTAAAGGCCCCAGGCTGGAGTCAAACCTCCAACCATTGTGTCGTGAAGTGACAGCGTTAACCACGAACCCCTGGTGCCACCTTACTTCTTGTACTTCACGTTATTATTGTAACATTTTGTATGTTATCATCTCACACTGTATCAAACTGCTTGTTTTGTAACATAATGGGTCATACCATACCAATTCAACTCCGTTTATTTATATGGCACCAACTCATAACCAGAGTCGTCTCAGGGCACTGTACAAAAAAACATAAACCTACATTTTAAAATACTAATTGATAAAAGTTATTTATCTGAGGAAGCCAGCAGATTGAGTTGAGTTCACTTCTTCACAATCTTCTATCCTGAGCAGCACGTTGCAAGAAACCTCCAGCAGAACCGGGCTCAGGATGGGTGGCTGTCTGCTGCGACTGGCTGGGGTTTGAGAGGACAGGAAGGAGACAGAGACAGAACCACTGGTCCACAGCTGCTGTATTCATTCATTCCATCTACACACTACAGAATCATGTTGGGGTTGTTGTTTAATATATCGTATTATTTTACATTGTTAGTGTTTAGCGTATACTGTATCTTCAATTTTTTAGCGTTTGTTTAGTGTACATCTTAAATCCTTATACAGTATACCTTTTTTATACTTTATATTTTTGCCATTTTCCTGTGTAACTGGGACCTTGAGTACACAATTTTGTTCCACATCATTTGTTGCGAATGACAATAAAGTTACTTGAATTTGAGTAAAACATGTGGAAATACATACAAACAGAAATATGAAAAGTAGAGCAAGTAAAGACAGAAGCAGAGTGAGTTGATGTGGTCTGTTTGTCCTCCTGTGGTCTAAGCCTATAGCAGCAGAACTAATGAAAAACTCAAGAAACCCAAGTTGATCCTAACTATAGGATTTATTTATATATAAAAGAACATCTGAATCCTATTCCTAAACGTAGACAATGTGTCAGCCTCACGGACAGAAACTGGAAGTTGGTTCCACAAGAGAGGAGCCTGATAACTGAAAGTGCTGCTGCCCATTCTGCTTTTAGTAACTATAGGAACCACAAGTAAACCTGCAGCCTGAGAGTGAAGTGCTCTGTTAGGAAAATTATATATTTAATTTAAGCTGGAGCAACACTGAACAACAACTGAGGAAAATAATTAAACAATCAGTTACTGCATGTGAACAATTTATTTTATGTTCCCTCAGGTTGTGGTTTGAAAGAGTCTTGGGCATCAAACCTGTGTAACGTTGGAGTATTCAGCCTCCGTCTGACTGATCCACTTGAAACTGAATCATCTGAAGACTTTAAGTTCTCATCGTCTTCAGGCTGCTTTTACGTTTAGGTAGACAATGCTTACGAGTCCAAGTGTTTGTCCTCCTCAGACGTCCAGGCATCACTAAAAACCCTCAAACGAACTGGACAGTGACCAGAACTAAACAAACAAGAAGAATAGCTACACAGATCGGTCCAATGGTCACCGTTTAACTCCATTCAAGTGCTCTCCATTATGTCCTCGCGGTCTTTGAGGACAGGATTAGAGGACGCCTCTGTGACAAAGGTCAGAGGGCCGAGCAGACACTCCCACACCGCCGTGACCTGCTCTGATCCCACGACCCCGGCACCAGAGACACCCCTCGGTCCCCACTGGCCCTGTCTACTGGTTAACTGGCTTTGTCTGGACCCGTTTTCTGCCACATCACTCACTCACAGCAGAGCACACTCGTCAGTCAGGAGACGGAAACCTTTTTATCTCTCTGCAAGCAAAACACGCAGAAATGTAAAAAAAAAAATACATATGTGTGCGTGTGTGTGTGTGTGAACTTTTCTTTAGATGCTGTTTTTAATGTAAATAACTTCTTTATTCTTGCGTTTTACCCCATCTGGGTCTGAGTGGCCACTTTCTATTTCTAAAAGGTGAAATATTAACATTTGTTTTGTTGTCGTTGAAGTCATTTCGTATCATTTGATTTGTTTTTAGTTAAATGATGTTTGATATGAACAGAATTCACAGCAAAACATTTTGTTGTGATGTTTGAAATGTTGTTTTGTTGTTGTGCTTTGGGTTTTGTCTTTTGTGTACTTGTTTATTTTTTGTCATTGTTGTTGTTTGTGAGGGAGCTTGTTTGTTTTGTTCTAAAAAAAATCATATTTCTGAAATTAATTTATTTTTTAAATTGTTATTGTAGTTGTGTTTTTCTAAAAAAAAATATATATATATATATATATATATTTTAAATTCCCTTCAGAACCGCCGTTCCACAGTGTGGAAATTGTATTATAATATTTCATGTATCAACTAGCTGTATTTATAAATTATACTTTACTAATTTATGCTTGTTACCATGGTAACAAAGTTCAAAATCCCTTAAAGACCAGCAAAACACCT